ATGTTGGACTTGTGGGTTTGGGCAGCACTGGGTTGGGATGTTTTCTTCATGTGCACTTAACCTTTATATGAAACTTTCTCTTATACATGAGTTTCTGTGGTTTTGTTCTCTAAAGTACCCAGACTAACACTCACGGACTGAGCAGAGTTTCACTCTGTGATACAAAAGGCTATCTGAGCAGGGGCCAACCTGACGGCACCTCACAACAGTGTATGGCCAGTGGATTATATCTCATTAAAGCTTATTTTAAAAAACCAAGCAAACATGGCCTAAGCTAGAAGTTCTTAAAACCTCAGTGGGTATCAAAATTATCTAAGAGTTTGTTCAAGAAAAGAGTCTATAAGCCCCACACCCATTGTCAGTCTGGCCCTAAGAATTTGCATTTCTAACAAATTCTCAGGTGATACTGATGTTGCTGCTTCAGGAATCACATTTGGGACACACCGGACTAGTTTTCACAAAAGAGTTCCGGGAAGGATTTAAAGAATTACCCTGACAGATGCACATCAAATAATTAAGGCAACCTACAGACACTTCCTCATCTTTTTTATGTTGAAGCATAAGGGTCCCCTTATTCCTTTCATAAAGGAATAAGTCATATCTTGATCCTTTGTGAAATAAAATATTGGATAATAGTACAAATACTAAGCACGCACTGTGTTCTAAAAATTCCTAAACATATATCTTTTGTTATTTTACTTAATCCTCACAACGACAACGACATCCTTTCCCCTTAAGATATCCCTAGGCTGAACAATTGCCAAACATAAAAGCACTTGTTGTTTTAATTCATGGATAATAGCCATCTAAATCTATCATCTAGGACAGAAGGTAAACATAGTTTACCATTGGTATGGGGGGGTCCCCCACCCCCTATTTTATAGATGAGAGTATTGAGGCTGAAGGGATAAATGAGGTGCCCAGAGTGATTGATGTAGTAAGTGGTAGAGTAGGGATTCCAATCTCAATTTGGCTCTTTAACCACATGCTAAGTACTAAGGCATCCCAAGTCAAAAGAATGGGTGCTGGCCAGAGGTTGTCTGCAAAAGCATGGTTACATTCACAACACTAGTTTCACATTAGAAACATGCTCCAGTCCTTGTCTCTCAGAACACGACAGTGGTTGTTTCATTTTTGTGCTACAAAGGAAAAACGGGGCATAGAAAGTAAGACGCTGTGTGTTCTTCCTGGCATAAATAGAAATTAGAAATCACAGTAGCTCTGGTGAAATGATGGAGCTGACCAAGGGGAAACAAAAAGGCTTCCCTGCACAATGTTTTGTTTTTTAAGAGATTCTATGTTTGGCATTATAACCCACTGCTGTTGACAATTCTGACTCATAGCAACCTCACAATGGGACAGACTAGGACTGCCCCATAAGGTTTCCAAGACGGTGTGAAATTTCCCCTTCAGATATCCCTAGGCTGAGCAATTGCCAAACATAAAAGCACTTGTTGTTTTAATTCATGGATAATAGCCATCTAAATCTATCATCTAGGACAGAAGGCAAACATAGTTTACCATCTCCCCCATCCTTCTCTCTCCACTATCCTCAAAACTCCTGCCAGTTTTCCTTTATGTCTTTTTAGCACCTCAGTTTCCAACCAGGTTGACCTTCACCAGACACCTCTCAACCTCACCCTCCTGTGATCTCTCCCAGTTCACCTGTGGCAGCCTCCCTCCTGATAGGGCTCTCTCTGAATCAGCTCCCGCTGTCGGTTACCTGAGAGCACAGCTCGGCCGCTGTAACACGGGGGCTCACAGCATCCTCCCAAGGCTGCACTACATAGAAATGCAGTCGACGACCACCGTTTTAAAAATGTAGTTCCATCCAACATCACAACACTCGTGTGGCATAAACCACCCCATTCCTGGCCTTGAGCTGGCCTCTGCAGGCAAGACACAGGTGAATAGATCCTGATCACGTCCCTTCTTGGGGTCATATGGCAAAGACCCTCACAAAGTCTTTCTCAGGGCACACACCTGATTAGCTACATCAGAATCACTTGGATTTACTTACAACACCTGGGCCTAGGCCCTGCTCCCAGCGATTCTGATTCACAGATGCCCTGAAATCTGCATTGTTTTCTAACTACATGAAACCTTGAAGTAGTCCCAGGCAGGGCTTCAACTATGAGAAGCCCTAGTTCCTTTCTTTCAGATGCCCCACCCCCCACCCTTGCCCATGGTCTGCTACAGGTAATCACTTTAGTAAGAACTACTTTAGCCTTTTTTAAAATGTGTGTGCATGTAGGCCCTTAATGGACATTAAAGATTTACTGAATATATGCGGCAGAACCTACCATATACACTCAAGTATAAGCCGACCTGAATATCAGCCGAGGCACCTAATTTTACCACAAAAATGGCATAAAAAAATGTGCTGGAAAAGTCAGCTTATCCACGAGTATATACAGTAAGTTCTCTATGCTTCAAAATGGTGCTGATATTATTATACATTAAAGCACATGCCAAATACAACCGATTGGTGCTCGATATGAAAAGCTATTATTATATCATCTTTATTCATTAATTGGGGAGAAAGATGAGGCTTTCTACTCGGGTAAAGATTGAAGAGTCTCAGAAAGCCACAAAGGCAGTTCTCCTCTGTCCTATAGGGTCACTATGAGTTGGCGTGGGCTCGATGGCAGTGGGTTTTGAGTTTTTATTCATTAATCCATTTATATTTAACACATACCCTTCATGAATCAAGAACAAGTCTAAGCACTGCAGAGACAACAATGTGAAAGATTCCTTCTCTGAGGAAACTTACATTCTAATAGTGGAGTGAGAGAGACAATAAATAAAAATATACCATTAGGAGGCAACTCTGGTAAGAAAGATAGGCTGAGGCAGGGACTAGAGCTGGGGTGGGGTGGGGTGGGGGGATCCTTTTATACCAGGTGGCTAAAGATAGTCTCCCTGATTTAGGGGACCTTTCAACAGAGACCTAATGAAAAGAGGAATGAGCCAGACAGTATCTAAAGCAAGAAATGTCCAGAGAGATGAGACAGTGATATGGGATGCGCACGGGTCCTGAGATAAGCATGTGCTCATGGAACAAGAAGGCTGCGTGACTAGTACCAGAAGGAACAGCATAGAAGATATAATGTTCAGGAACAGTTTAAGTGTGGAAGTGTATGATATGGGAATAGCTTATCAAGAAAACTACGTGAAAAGGAAGGGGACTGTATTAGTCTAGGTACTTTGGAGAAACAAATCCACAGCAACTCACGTATAAGAGAGAGTTTTATGCAAAGAAAATGTGCATCACGAAAACATCCCAACCCAATGCTGCCCAAGCCCACAAGTCCAACATTAACCCATACCCAACACCAGTCCACAAAGTCCTTCACCTCACAAAACAGAGGCAATAATGCCGACTGCAGGAGGAAAGCTGAGTCCGTGAACGTGTAAGCATCTCAGCACTGGCAGGGGTCTCCACACGGCTGCTCCAGCACCCAGGGCTGCATCGGGATAGATCCATGCGGCTTCTCCTTGGGGATGTCTTGTAGGAAATCCATCTTGCAAGCTGAAGCAGGGAACTGCTAAGGCAGCTGCACCCAATGCAACCATCACAAAACAAGAGACCCGAGAACTAGAAAGGCGAGGCTTCACCACCCATTTATCCCTCCGCCTTTCAACCAGCCCCACATGTGATTATCGGCCAGGCTGGCACAATTAACTAACTCAGGGACCAAATTTGACCTGTGAGGGTCACTTTATGCAACTATATTGCTTCTTCCTCTAAGTGTTTGTCCTAGGCTGTGTGCATCTATCATTCGTCTGCTCAGAGGCGTACACCTGTGTGTATTCTAGGGGCACAGGCTTCGCTCCTTGTTCAACAGGCTTCGTTGGTCCACGAAGGGTCCCAATACACCAACAAACAGGGTGATGTGTCCCTAGTGCCGTGTGTCCAGGACTATTGTTCTTTTACCTTTTTCTGTGATGTTTACTTTTAAATTTTACTAAGAACGTTTTGTGACAGGAAATGGAGATGCTCTTGAGACTGTCTGGATAAGTAGGAGTCTCTCCCTAAGCCCAAAGACCAAACCTGCTTTCTGTAGAGGTCTGATTTTAAAGAAGTCCAACGGTGCTTAACAGGAAGGTGTGTGGTGAAAGACCCCCTAACTGAAGGGGCCGTGAAAACTTCCACAGGGCTGACTGGGTGGTGCTGTCAACAGATGACACACAGTGCCAGCCACCGCCAAGACTCCACTGGGACCACTGGGGATTCCTAACTCAGTGTACGACCCATGAGGGGTTCTGAACTTCCTTTACAGGGTCCTCAGTTTCTGGGTCCTGGACATTAACAACAGGAAAGATCAGAATGGGATTTGTTTGGTCTTTAGTTGTTGTTATCAGACACAACCATTCATAGAATACAGTGGTCATAGGAGCCCAGGTCTGGGCTCCTGCAACATCCCTTTGAATTCCAGAGCACACACGAGATCCCCCGCCCTGATTTCTGCACTGACCAATCACAAAAGGATTATGTAAGCTTTTATTGGTTAGGTCTCATGACAGTCTGGAAGGATGTTCTGAGTTGGGTAACTTGGGCACTTTGGATGAGTGATCAACCACTTGGCTAGTTAAAAGTTTGAGCGTTAACCATCAAAAAGGTCATGACGTGTGTCATTTTGAAAAGAACATCAATCCCCTGGACAGGCTCAGGCCTCTGGCCGGCTGAGAACGTCCCAACACACTGTCCCTCCACACTGAAGACTTGGTGGGAATCGAGGTGGGTCAAAACTGAACAAACTATTAAGGAAAGCACAATCTCCAACTCCGCGCGGAGGTGAAACGTCCCCTCAAGTGGCCGGAGCACGGGAGGTGGCCCAAGCAACCCCACCGCCCTCGCTGTCCATTGCTCTCCCTCATCTCAAGCCCTTCTCGGATAGTGTCCACCCAGCCAGACGCTTGTCTACTTCCCTGGCTTTCGCAAAACGTCCGGGACGCTCCCGCACTGACCCTGCCTCGCCCCGTGATCGCTCGCTTACCCCAGGCAGCAAGGCAGTCGATCTGCAAAGGCAGCTTTTCTAGAATCGGCACCGGCTCGAAGGCGTCGTGCATGGCGGCGAGGAGACGGTGGACGCCGCCGCCGTCTCACCCCGAGGGGGCCAGGCCGAGGCTGGGGCCGAAACCAGACCCCGGCAAAGGCAGACGGGGATCCAGCCAGGGACCCCCAGCTACAGGCCCCTTGGCGACAGAGCCATCATCGCTCCCGGACTTCCTGCAGACCTAACCCCGCCCCTTCCGCAGGCTGGGGCCCGCCCCTTCCGCCCCGGCTCCCGGGCATCCCCTGGTCTGTGCCGGCGGAGTTCCCGCTTCGCATGAGACCCATAGTCGTCGTGAGCTTCACCAGGAAGGAGGCTTTTCTGCATCTTAGAACTGCCTTAGGCGGCGTAGCATGGCGGCTTATGAAGGCACGCTTTGGGGTGGGGCAGGGCTCTTCTTGGCGGGATGAAGAGCTGCTATTTGGTAAATTAGCCGGGACGTCATAGGAAATTTAATTCGAGGCTGTACCCTACCTTGTACAATGAGGATGGTCTAAGTGCCGAAGATTTAGCCACGCCTGAGCCACTTATTGTGGTGTTGCCATGATTGACCCAAGTAGTGTCATCCTAGGGGCGTGCCTCAGGCCAGCAGCAGCACTACCTGGGAACTTGTTGGAAGGCGAATTCCAAGGCTCGCTGCAGTCCTGGTTACACTCAGGGCTGGGGTCCAACAGTCTGCTTTAATAAGCACCCTGCATGGTGAACCCACTGAGGTTGGCCAGTGTCTCAAAGTGCTGCACTATAGACACTTAAGACAGGAGTTGTTGTTGTGGGGGCCTGCTGTATGCATTGCGATGCGTATTAGCATCCCTAGCCCCTGCCCACTGGACGCCGGTCAACGGCATACTCCAGGAAGTTATGACGTGTCTTCAGATTATGGCCCATGTTCTGGAGTGAGGCAAAAGCACCCTAGTTGGGAACCGAGTTCTGAGCCAATGCTTCTCAAGCTTTAAAATGACATACAAATCAGTTGGTGATCTTAAAAAAGAAACAAAAGAAACACTCATGACAATCCATCCAACGCACAGCCACCCTAGAAAGTTGGTTGGCACCTCTTTTGAGTTTCTAGGGCTGTAAATCGTTATTGGAGCACAAAGCCTTACCTTTCTCCTGGAGAGACCAGGAGCCCAGCACCTAACCCACTCAACACTAGGTCTCCTTGTTTAAAAAACTCAAGAAAACCCTCATTGCCATCAAGTTGATGCTGTCCTATAATGACCTTATAGGACTGGGTAGAACTACCCCTGAGGGTTTCTGAAACTAACTCTTCCACAGGAGTAGAAAGCCTTGCCCTGCTCCCGTGGATCGGTTGGTGGCTTTGAACTGCTGACCTTCCTGTAAACAGCCCAATGTATAACTACTATACCAGACTCCTTGTTTATAAAAGTAGACTCTCTAATTCAGTAGGTCCAAATAAGCAGTTCTAATGAGCACACAGGTGTTGCAAAGGTCTAGGTGTTGTAAGGTCTAGCAGTTCTAGCAAGCAGTTATTGTAAGGTCTAGTTGTAAAGAGCTAGGTGTTGTAAGGTCTGGCAGTTCTAACAAGCACACAGGTGTTGCAAAGGTCTAAGCTATTCCTGGAAGTCAGCAAAATAAACCTTTTTAAAATTGCTGGCCCTATTCCCACCACTCAACTCTCTCAAACTGTCTTACAGCCTTCATATTTTTTAGGAAGTTAAGACTTTCCTCCTACTGGTCCGGCAATGTCTGAGGTTGCCCTAGGATCCCATCTAGAGCAGTGGTTCTCAACCTTCCTAATGCCCCAACCCTTTAATACAATTCCTCATGTTGTGGTGACCTCCCCCCCACCCATAAAATTCTTTTCGTTGCTACTTCATAGCTGTGGTTTTGCTGTTAGGAATCGGGCAACCCCTATGAAAGGGTCATTCGACCCCTAAAGGGGTCGTGACCCACAGGTTGAGAACCACTGCTGTAGAGCCTTAATAGCAGTGACAACTCTTACTGCAAGAATGAGCTGTAAAAAAAAAAAAAAAGAATGAGCTGTATCTGGTCACCACCCTGCCCACCATCCTCCTCATCCATGAAGACATGCCTTTCCCATGTGCTATTTCTGAAAAATCTAATGAAAGATTTTTAGTCAGAAACATAAAAACTACTCAACAAATCTGGTGTTATTTGATTAGCTTTCATCCTATAAATTGATCTTCTTGGAAATTTTAAGTTACTTTTGCTGTGAATGAAAAAGGCCTGTTTTTCATTCCAGTCCTAAGGGCCAGGACAAAAAGAAATCATATAAACTCTAAGGTCAATATGAAACTATAAATTCCTTCTGAGCCTATCTTAGGCGAAAACACGCCAGATCCAATCCCAGGAAGGATAATCAGGCCCTAGCCTACTGAATTTAGACTACACATTCCTGTGTAACACAGGTTTTGTGTTTTTTACCCCTTGTCTGAAATCAACATTTAACCATCCTCAAAAAATATTTGAACCAACTAACCTGTGGCACTCTCACTCACCTGCCAACTTTTAGTACTCAACAGAGCAGCCCAAGCCAACCGAGGTCAGCGTCAGTTCTTCATATTGCTGCTGCTTAAAGATATGGTCTGGGCATTTTATTTTTGTTTCACTCAACAGAGCTATAGGAAAGTACTACCTAAATGCTCACACTTGCACCACGTGCTAATGACTGATTATGGTCAATGGGCTGTATGGAATGCAGGACTACCCCGAAAAAAACCATGTGAAAAATCCTGTCACGGGTGAGTCCGAGGGGACAAAATGGGGTTTTAAGAGAACAAAGTCTACTTAAAAACTTGAAGGTAAACAAGCAGCCATTTAGCTCAGAAACAACAAAGCTCACATGGAAGAAGCACACCAGCCTGTGTGATCACGAGGTGCCGAAGGGATCAGTTACCAGGCATCAAAGAACAAAAAATCCTATTATTGTGTGCTCACCTCCCTGATACGATCGCTGAAGACAAATGGGGTGCATAAGGAAATGTGGCGAAGAAACCTGATGCTGCCCAGCTATCAAAAGACACAGCGTCTGGGGTCTTAATGGCTTGAAGGTAATCATGCGGCCATCTAGCTCAGAAGCAACAAAGCCCACATGTAAGAAGCACACCAGCCTATGCGATCACAAGGTGTCGAAGGGATCAGATATCAGGCATCATCAGAACAAAAAATCTTACCACAGAGAATGAGGGGAGTGCAGAGTGGAGACCCAAAGCCCATTTGTAAGCCACTGGAGATCCCCTCGCAGAGGGGTCTCGGGGAGGAGACGAGCCAGTCAGGGTGCGATTTGGCAATGATGAAAAATACAACTTTCCTCTAGTTCCTAAATGCTTCCTCCACCCCACACCCCACTATCATGATCCGAATTCTACCTTGCAAGTCTGGCTAGACCAGAGGATGTACACTGGTACAGATAGGAACTGGAAACACAGGGAATCCGGGGCGGATCCCTTCAGGACCAGTGGTGTGAGTGGCGATACTGGGAGCGTAGAGGGAGAGTGGGTTGGAAAGGAGGAACCTCTTACAAGGAGCTACATATGACCTCCTCCCTGGGGGACAGACAACAGAGAAGTGGGTGAGGGGAGATGTCAGACAGGGCAAGATATGACAAAATAATCATTTATAAATTATCAACGGTTCATGAGGGAGGGGGGAATGGGGAGGGAGGGGGATAAAATGAGGAACTGATGCCAGGGGCTTATGTGGAGAGGAAATGTTTTGGGAATGATGAGGGCAATGAATGTACAAATGTGCTTTACACAACTGATGTATGGATTGTGATATGAGTTGTATGATCCCCTAATAAAGCAATTAAAAAAGAGAACAAGGTCTAAATAAAATGAGAAAAACATTAATTTTGTTAAATTTTTTATATTAAAAAGTGGCATGAATTTTTTATGTAGAACAAAAACCTTGGGAAGGCAAAATTGGATAAAACCATCACAACAGAAGTAGAGTGCTTCAAAAGAATCCCATCACCTTGAGATGCCTCTTACAATCTCCAGACCAACACCAGATATAAAAAGTCAGCCCTAAAGAATGAGCAGCAGTCCAGGGTCTTCGCACATGCAGGAGTGACTGTTTAAATTAAGCCAGAGGCCTTGTTTCCTTTGTGTTGACTCCCTTTTCTGAAGCATCAGAGCTCCTCTAGGTGGGGGCTCATTCCAAAGCACTTAGATGGAGTGCGCCTCTCTGCACCTAGTTAGTGCAACACCCAGTGCCAGTGAATGGCATGAAGGCAAACCAAGCCTTGCCAAGAGCTCCACAATGCTGCCTTGGGAGGCTACAAAACAGTAGTTAAAAGTTCCAGAGTGTGCACCACATTGCCAGCAATGGGATGTGTCACAATAGCAGATGTCAAGAGTTAAGCTAATATTTCTAAGTTACATCTGAAATAGAAAAATCTTTAATATATACCATTTGTAAACAAAATTGCACTTGATTTTGCTTTTTAAAATGATCTGAACCACACTGTAAGTTCCTCTCGTGTGTGTGTGTGTGTGTGTGTGTGTGTGTGTGTGTGTGTGTGTGTGTAAGCATTTTATCAGCCTGGCTGATGTAACCATGGCTCCTTAATTCCTCAAAACTATTTCTGCAAGATGTAACCTTGGCTTCCCAGGAAACTGAAAGATGATCAACAATTTCCCCCATCACCCATGTAACTCCCTAAATAAATAAAAAGCACAGGCAATTGTTCCTGGAGATTACATAATATGACCTTGGTGTCATAGTCCTTTAGAAGATGTTAAACTGGTTTAGTTTGACGGATTAAACTGAAACATTATAGACGGTTCAGGAACAACACATGTAAGTTGCATAAACATCCATGTCAGGGTGTGGGAGGAGGGGCATCAATGTTGGAAATCAGAAACTTGTAGCTTTTTCTCATCCTGTCAACTTGTTTGCAGCAAGAGTCTCCTTGTTCTGACACCTCTTGCCAGCTCCAATGCACCAAGATCAAGAAGTAGGTCAGGGAGCTGCTGCCTCCTTTCACCCCACGGAGCAGAAGTAGAAGACTGACACCGAAGCTGATCTCTTCCCTGATGCCAGCTTCGCCTGCAATTCTTCCTATCTTTACTCCATTTTGGATCTTTCAAAGTGTGTTATCATTCGTTCCTGGGGGGGGAATTGTTGAATTAATTTAAAAAGAGCTGCATTCCCAAGATCTGCTATACAGACTTATCATCCTTACACACATTTCCCACAAGTTCTTGTTTTTGTTAAGTATTATTTAGCAGTGAGTGACTCCTAACCACCAAAAAGTTGAAACATACAGGCCCGACCTTAGGATCAACTGCATCAAAATCACTAGGCTTTTGAACATAAAATGACAAATCAAAAGGAATTATGCATTTTAGTCCATTGAAATATTAAAATATAGTTTTAATAAAAATTACACCTCCTCTGATTCAGGAATTTAAGGTCATAGTTAAAGATGTTGGTAAAGACTTACCCACAAAGATGTCTACTGGAACACTCAGCATTATAACAAAATATTACAAAGAATTAAATGTCTAAAAAATATAGGGAGACATAAAACTACAGTACATCCTTATGATGAAAAAAATACCAGGGGGCTTCAAAAAGTTCAAAGAAAGATGGAATTACAAAAGAGACTTTTCCCACAAACTTTTGGACATTAAATACTCATTAAAAATCTCACTTGATTCTAAAATATTATCTTTAACATCCACACCCTCTCTTGCTTCATTTGTTTTGGAGGGTTTTTTTCCCATCTACCCCAAAGATGACCACTATGATCAATCACATCTGATAACCTATGCTTTTCCTCCCCCTGCACACCTGTGTTCTGCTCCATCCTGGACTACGTGTTCTCCATGCATGCTGTACAGCTGTAAGCCTGAGAATTATCCTTTTGTGTTGGACTACTACTTGCTGAGTCCCTTTTCTTTTTCTTTCTTAGCTGATGCCCTCTTTTTTGTAAGGAACATTTTTTACTACATCGTCCTATGAAAGCATGCTGCTGTGCAGTTAGAGTGTGGCTCTTCTAGTCAGTCTCTGTAGCCCCCACCAAATGACCTTTTCCTAATGGGTCTGGTAGGAAGGTGAGGGTAAGATACCGATATGATTAGGAGATTCAGCTGGGTGTTATTGGTTACCATCCTGTTGGGCAGAAAACAAGCCATCTCCGGAACGGGAAAGGGGATCTTACTACCATGAAGAGAGAAGAGCCAAAAGTGGAGAGCATCCTTCGGACCTGAGGTACTTGCACACTGAGCCTCCCTAAACCAGGAGCAGCAACAGAACCAGGAGCCACAGTGTTAGAGCAGTGGGCTTCCCAGCCCACGGAGTCAGTGAGGCTGAGTGCCCGCAAGTATGAGGCTTGCTCATGGAATCAGGTGTGTCCACGAACCTAATTGAGGAAGCTAGGTTTGCCATTGGGCTCAGGCTTGTGGTAGCATAGCATGCATGCCCTTTGGGCACTCATTAGAAGTCCTAAAAGTGCTTTGTAACATTGCCTGGGCAGGACCGATGCTGAAGGCGAGAGAAGCTTGCCTTCAGGCGCAGCAGAGAATAGCCCATCCTGACTAAAGAACTGTATCCTAAGCATGTCTCACTTGTTAGCTTCCCTGATGAAGCCCATAATTTTGAGTATTCTTTGTGAGTTGTGTGTGGCCACTGCAATGAATTCTCAAACCCAGCCTAGATAGCGTGGAAGGGATGGTTAGTATATGGGAGGTTGGCGCACATGTCAGACTTCAGCCTCTGAGAAATCAGCCCTGGGCAGCTGATACTGATAATGGTGATTCTTTTCCTTCCGCTTGATCAAGTTGGTGTCAGATGTAGCATCCACAATGCTTTGCAAAGGATCTAAATTATTTTACTTTTTACATTTCTGAAAACATCTTTATTTTACCCTATATTGATAGCCAAAAACAAAGCACCAGGAATTGATGGGAGTATCAATTGAAATGCTTCAGCAAGCTGATGAAGCACTGGAAGCACTCACTTGTCTACGCCAGGAAATCTGGAAGACTCAGCCGACTGGAAAAGATATTTACTTTTGTGCCCATTCCAAAGAAAGGAGACCCAACAAAATGCTCAAACAAAAGAACAGTGTCATTGATATCGCATGCAAGTAAAATTTTGCTGAAGGATCATACAACAATGGCTGCAACAGTACACTGACAGGGAACTGCCAGAAGTTCAGACCAGATTCAGGAGAGGACATGAAACAAAGGATGTCATTGCTAATGTCAGATGGATCTTGGCTCAAAGCAGAGAATACTAGAAAGATGCTTATTTGTGTTTTATTGACTATGTCAAGGGATTCGACTGTGTGGGCCATAATAAACTGTGGATAGCCTTGAGAAGAATGTGGATTCCAGAATATTTCATTGTGCTCACGACGAACTTATACATAGATCAAGAGGCAGAGGCAGTTGTGCAAGCAGAACAAGGGAATACTGCATGGTTTAAAATCAGGAAAGGTGTGTGTCAGGGTTGTATCCTTTCACCATACAAATCTGTAGACTGAGCAAATAATCAGAGAAGCGTGCTTATATGAAGAATGTGGCATCAGGATTGGAGGAAGGCTTATTAACAACACAGCCTTGCTTGCTGAAAGTGAAAAGGCCCTGAAGCACTTACTGATGAAGAGTAAGGATTGCAGCCTTCATATGGATTGCAATTCAATGTAAAGAAGACCCAAATCCTCACAGCTGGACCAAGAGGTGACATAATAATAAACGGAGAAAAGGTTGAAGTCGTCAAGAAACCTGTCTTGTTTGAATCCACTATCAATACTCATGGAAGCAACAGTCAAGATATCAAAAGATGTGTTACATTAGGTAAATGTGCTGCACAAGACCTCTTTAGAGTTTTGAAAAGCATGGAAGCAACAGTCAAGATATCAAAAGATGTGTTACATTAGGTAAATGTGCTGCACAAGACCTCTTTAGAGTATTGAAAAGCAAGGATGTTACTTTGAGGACTAAGGGGCACCTGACACCAGCCATATTTCCTTTGTCTCACATGCACACGAAAGCTGGACATGGAATAAGGAAGACTGAAGAACTGA